TGGAGACGTCCTACTTGACATACCTTAAGCTCACGGATTCTGATGCTTTTTGCCCAATTGTTGGTGGCAGCTGCGGCAACATCCTTAACAGCAGCTACTCATTTGTTTTGGGTAATTTCTTTAAGTTGTTGATGTTTATTACTACGTAGTTATTAACTTATTATGCCTTGAACTTGAGTCTTTTTGCATGCTACTTTTCATTATGTTTTGATTTTGTGAATGTCATTAACATCCTTTGTCTAGTAAGTTATTCATATGCCTAGAGATTAGGTTCGTAATTGAACTTTATATTGTGGCAGGAGTTCCGCTTCCATTACTGGGTATGGTTGCGTATGGATTAGTTACATTACTTGGGCTGCAATTAGGCAGAAAGTGGTTACCACTTGGAATTGAAGAAGCTAATGGGAGACCTGTTTTACTTGCCACAACGACTTCTATGGCTGCTGCTAGCTCATACTTTTTGTACATCCTAAGTATGAGATTCCCAGGGGAGTGGTGTTTATATTGTCTGACATCTGTTGTCTTATCCTTCAGTTTATTCTACATCTCTCTGAAGGTCCTATTCTTGACATGCAATTTCTAGTGTATGGGATTTAATATGAACCAGTGTGCTACAACTTTGATAATGATTTTGGCATGTGTTACAGGAGTTGGGATTCGCTGAGTTAAAAAAAGAACTGGTTTTACAGCTATCTGTAGTGCTATTGGTGGTTGCTGCCTTAAATAGTTCATATAATTCCTTTCAGCCTACAAGGTTAGCATGCTATGACTATTAGAAAATATTCGAAGTTGGAGCCACATGTGTGTTTATTAAATGTAATTACACACTTGTAAGTTCTAAGCGTACTCTTTTAACTGATGGACACAGAATTAGAGCCATTTGGATGGCCTCACCAGTCACCATCTGTTATAGGCGTTATGGTCCTCACGGTTGTAATTTACACTATTATTACTTTCTTCTTCCAATCATAGTAGCTTATAGCAAAACCTATAGAGATCTTGAAATTAAAAGATTCAAGTTCATTTAGTTCATCTCTCAATTAACAGAATTGCTGAAGAGTATCCTGCTCTGAGAAAAACCTCAACTTGACCCATATTTATTACTCCCTCCATCCCGCTAAGATTGTTCCATTTTACCTTTTCGGGAAATCCCACTAAGATTGTCCCATACCAAATTTGGTAAAGTTTGTGTGGTTCTAAATCATTTTACTTTATTCTTACTTTATCAATTTAATATCAACCACACAAACCCACTTTTCTTAATAATTGTGTCACCTTCTCTTGTCTCAATCTTAGTGGGACGGAGGTAGTACGGAAGATATCTCAATTTCTGCATGGACTCAGCTCCAGTCCATTTAAGCCCATCTAAGATTTTAGCAAATGCCATGTGCGGATTCAGCTCTTCCAATAGTATAGATGTTCTCTTCTGAACTTATGTTGTGTGTGTTGAGTCTTTGGCTAGAAAGATTAATGGAACAAGGGAACTCCTTAAAGGAATGCTTTGAATACTTGGATCCTCAAAGTATGGAAGATATATCAACTTGATCTCATGGTAGGCAAGATAACTCCTTATAACACTTCATAGAATAAACTAATAAAGCGCTACACCTTCTACATGATTCTAAACCACTCCACATTGTATTTGAAAACTCAATGTATAAGAAGAGTTAAGTAGATGGGAGAAAGGTACATTTGGTCTTGAGTCTTGACATCTTCCCACACCTAACTTGGCGATGCCCTATATTTCGTCTGGGCTTCAAACTGCTTCCGGAACTTCGACAAGTCCTCTTTGACCTTCCATGTTGTTTCCCTGGGTAGTCTATTCCACTCAATCATATTATAGTTTTGGGTGGAATGGAAAATCCATGAGTTTTATCCTTCCTTATACTTGGTTATCCATAATAGTGGTTAAAATTCTTTTCATGGAAAATCACTTTTTCCTTTTAATGGAAAAAACCTTGTTCCATTTTGTAATAATCGGTTCCATTCTCATTTCATTTAAAGAAATCATAATTAAAGAATATTTCTCTGACTGGTTGCACTGTGTTAAAATTTCGGATCTCCACATGTCTACTACTATTGGACTTCACATATTCTTTGATATATCGGAGTTATATTTTGTCAGCTATTCACATCTTTGCTATAAAACAGATTTTGAGACTTACCCTAAGGGCTGACATGACAAGAAACATGTATTTAGCAATACATTAGTTCTAATTCATATCTTTTTCAAACAGTTCTGATGCATCTGAGCTGCCATATTTCGCCACTGAGATCACAACACATTCAAGTCCTTATGCCATTTCTTTAGCAAAGCATCTTAGCTCAGTAGGAGCAAGAATGTATGGGGCTTTCTGGTGCTCGCATTGTCAAGACCAGAAACAGGTACCGCATTCTTCCTGAGAGTCAAGCATATATGAAGTTTCTTTTCACTTCGAAAACATATTGAACACCATTAAATTGTTACCTAGTTTTTTTAACCAACTTAGTTCTCGTATATGTATTTTCTTGTGCTTGTCGGCCATCTCATCCATTCTCCTAGTTGCTTTGTTTCCTTTATATAGTTATTTACTTTAAGGCATTGCCACATTGGTGATGATTCTGAGATGCCGATGTAGAATTATTGGAATTAAAATGTTGTGAGACCTGAAGCATTTTTTGAATGGGGAAATATGAAGCATCGAAGTATTGGACTTTGTAGTTAGTTCATCGCTCTAGGTATATCATTAAAATATTAGGTTTGAATATCAAAGGGGATCTTCAATGGAATGGATCTGTTACAGATGCTTTGGTTGGTTGCCATTTGCCAATATCAGCAGTTCTTGCCGCTTCCTACAGAATCTTTGTTTCTTATTTTAGTAATTTCATTGGTTTTCATTTACTTCCTTAGGCAAGTCTTATTATCTTTGCCATTTAAAGATTAAGAACCTTGTAATAGCTATACAAAGCTCAATAGTTTGGATAAATAATACTCCGTATCACTTTTGGAGAATCAATTCATTGTGTCAAGGGTGAGCATGGCTAAGTAATTATCCAGAAATTAGCTTCTTTTTCCAATTCCTACTTCCCTCTCCTGTCCACTTCTTTTATGCCTGGAATGACAGCTTGCGTAAATACTCTTAACAGTATCCTAATGAATATAGCCCTTAACTAATGAATATATTACATATTAATGACTTCCAAAAAAGCAAAGGTGTTAGTACAAGCATGGGCTTGTAACTTTTTCAAAATAGTTTTGAGACATCATATAGCGCTGAGCCTACATGGAGCTGACCATGACTATAATAATTGGACCACACCTGAACTAGACCTGCTAGCCTCTTGCATGTATCATAGTTTGTGATAAGAATGTTAGTTGGTTTGGGAACTTATTTCATAACGCTAAAAATGGTATAATTGGTAACAAATTGGTAACTGAAACAATTCCAAAAAAAGAGCTCAGGATAGTGAATAGCACGACTATTGACTCTTACTGTAGAAATTTGAAGGTGTTATTTATTGCAAACCCCAATTTTAGGTAATTCAAAACAGTGATAATAAAAATAAGGGCAACTCAAACAAGAATCATTTTTACCCTATGAGGTAGTTTGCGCAGTTATTAAAAAATGGAGTCCGGATGATATGCTTTATCAATAAGGAAAGCAGACATCATACTGAAATTTCCCACGCATTGCATCCTTCATTGTAATAGATGTTTGGGCAAGAAGCAGCTGCTCTACTAAACTATGTAGAATGCTTTCCTACGGGGATCAAGAAAGGAACCACTATGGCTTTAGAATGTGCGCTTGTTAAGATTGAAGGGTTCCCAATGTGGGTGATTAATGGACAGGTGATGACTCTTCCATTTTATGCTATAAATTTCAAATTTGAAATTTCCCCTCGGATGTTGATCTCTCGTCAACAATTACTGCTCTTGCCTTTACTAATATCGGAAATGAAACCTTATCTGTTATTGTTGATGTCTACCCTAGCCCCAAATACTTATTTTTTGTTGGTAAAACAGAAAGGTGCCCCTAGGACTTCAACTTTATTGCTATTTCTTTTCTTTTTTTCCTTTTTTTTTGATAGCCAAGAAGTGAATGTTTTACATATTCCCATTTTTTTTTCAAAAACTGTAGTATGCAAACAATGCTCACTCTTTTATACGTTAGTTTTTTCAATCTTCAGTTCGCTGGCTATTACATTTTCTTTCAAGTTTAAAATTCCAGACATGCTTGTTTCACAGATGTAACTTTTTGGTGCAGGTTCTAAATGGAGAGCAGAAACTCTCTGAACTTGCTAAAGCATCGGGATTCCAATTTGATGAATCAAGTTGAGCTAGCTGCCCTTTATGAATGGAACTAAACCTTGACATTAGCTCTGTAGTTTTTATTTACTGAATTCTTCATAATGCTTTCCAAATAAATTAGTAAGCGTCTTTCAACTTCTAATGATCTAATCTATTTGTCATTAGACAAAGAGCAAGGGTTAAACAGGTGAAAGTCTTCATAGTGTTTTCGTACTGAATAGTTTCCAAGTAAATTCTTTGCTAAATAATCAATAAATCTATCTGAAATCACGAACTTAGTTATTCATCTCCAACAAAATAGTTAAAATGATTTGAGTTCTAAAAATCGTGTCTTTGGAAATACTATTACGGGTGACATTTTTGTCTGTAAAGTACTCCGTATATATCAATAAATTTGCTGCTATATGACTAACTACACTATACCCTTTAAAAAGTAAATAAACAAGTTCCATTAAACGTATATTAGCAGTAGTTAATCAATCAAGCTAATGACAATTAGTAAGTCAAAACTAAAATGAATTCCATTAATTAATTTGAAGGAGAAAATAATAACAACACACTAATAATAATAATAATAATAATAATAATAATAATAATAATAATAATAATAATAATAATTTCATGAGAAATAATTTTGAATACAACTTATCATAATCTACTAAATAACTAGTGGAACTAACTAATTAATTTGAATAAAATGAAAGATGGTCTAAGGGAATGAAGTGATTCACACATGACTTAGTTGCAAGCAACCTCTCTTTCTCTCGCATATCGTTGTCGGCAAGCATTTATATTGACTAAAGTCAAACCGATTCTGAATGACATGTATGCGTCTTTGGCTGCAAATGTAATCTGTTCAAAGCTTAGATCATCCAATTCCCAATTGCTCTGAAGTATTTTGGACGGCCTATCCATCTTTAATCCAAGAACTTTCATCGCCAACGTTTCCAATCCAATCCACAACAACTCTCTTGACCGGTAAATACATGTTGCCAAAAATTGTAAATCAAGAACGTTTCCCACAACCAACCCGTGATCCTGGAGGAGTTGTTGTGCGTGCCCTTGGACCCCTATGGCGACAAATGTGACAAGAGGATTGGTGAGGAAGGTGACCAAGGATTGTGGAAAGCGGTCCTTGTAGAGAAGCTGAAAAACAAGGCACTTCTTCCCGACACAAATTTGGAGTGTGGCGGTGAGATTGTTGTTCCATGGCCGGTAGGGATGCCACTTGATGTCTAGACCAGCAATGATGAAACGGTGTCCACGACGGTGATGAAGATCGATAATTTCTGATATCCATGCGTCGACTTGAGACGCGACTTTGGTAACGGTGACTTGAAGATTGATATTGTGAAAATCAACCGAGTGTATTGTTGCCATTATTTTAAGTTTATAAGGAAATTGAGGGGACGACATGATACAAAAGGTATAAAAACGGGATGAATGAGTAATTGAGAATGTATGATTGTATGAATGGTGAATGAAGGGATACTATTTATAGATTTGAGAATCAAAACCCTAATTCTACTTGTACTTATATTCGTACTTGCTAGAGTTGAATATGGTTTAATTTCCTAAATTGAATATTCTACTAATACTTCGTATTTGTAATGAGTAAGGGAAGTAAACTGAGGTAGTTTCCCAAAACGCTACGTTGGGATATGATTATGATGAATGATCGGGAAAAAGAGTTTCCTAAATCTCTTTTGGGATTACGATGGGGATGGGGGTTGTGACTTCTGAGGACGCAGTATCACTCATGCTAGGAAATACTCCGTATTACGATTAATAAGCAATACGTACTACGTAACTACGTATAAAGTTAAGGTGCTTAAAAAACTAAAGTTAGAATATATTAAAGTAAAAATAAAAACTAAAGTTAAAAAAACTATACGCCATTTGAAGACTTCATTAGGTAATGATAAATACTTCGTATTAAATAAGAATAAATTTAAGGATGGCAAAGATTAAAGGATATATAATAAGCATTTTATTAATTCAGGAACTCAAAATAGATAAATATAAATTTGAAACTTGAAAGATAAATGTGTTGATTTAGGATCCAAATGATTGAAAATTATCAGTCTAGCACCCAAAGTTCCATAGATTTTAATTTATTTAATTTATCATTAATTCCATTTCTAAATTTTGATGAAATTTTCTTTGCAAAAGTTTATTAATTAGTTTAATAAAACTAGAAAATATTTTAAAATTTTAAAATACAAAATAATAATAATAATATTCATGAAAAACAGGTCCTACATTTATAGTTTTCATTCATTCGGTTCCTATATAGATGTGTTTTGTCTTTTAGGTCCTGGATTGACAACTCATCTATTTTCCAAGTCCTACATTGATACAATCTCTAGATAAAAAACACACTCCACATATCATTTTTATCATAATCTACAAACAACTTTCCTCATATATATGTGCTCTGGGTCCTCCACCCTTCTGTGCTTCTGCTCGAAATTTCATCTCTCCTTTGGTGCGGGCTCGCCTTCCAAGACACCTGATCGCTTGCCTTTCTCACTATTTCTGTTGGTGGACTGGCTACCCGAACTGTTTCTTTTACCTGCTGGGACGAGCCACTTATTCTCCTTCCATTGTTTTACCCCTTTTGTTGCCCTAAGCCAAGGCCTGAAAGGCCTCTCGCCAGTGAACTCATAACCCATCTTCTTACGTGGACAATGACTCTCAACATGCCCTATTATTCCACACAAAAAGCAGAAACTAGGCCGTTTCTCATAGCAAAATCTGACTCAGGAGTTGACTGCTTCCTCTTTTTGCAGGAACAGTTTCCTTTTCAACGGTTTCCCCAAATCAACAGACCCGAATCCTCATAAAGATTCCCAATTCTCAGAAAAATGTTTTCATCAACTTTTATAAACGTCCCTCAAAAATTCCCGATACGTTCCACATTGTCTAAGGAGAAATATCCACTAGGATATCATGAACCTGGACCCAAAATTCAGCTTTGTCCAATGGGACAAACATAGGGATATCGCCCTCTTCAAGCCTACTCATAACAATCAAGTTCTGATCAAATCGCCACAGTCCCTCACCTGCTACCCTATTTATATCCTCCACATTATAGAATTGAAATACATATCATCTAGGACCGATCTCAGTCATATTAACATCCTTTTCAGATTTCCACACAGATGCCATAATGTCTCTAAATTGAGTAAAACGTACCGACTTTTCTGAAGTAATAGTTCCAACCAGAGTCAAAATTGTGCTTAGAAGAGCTTTGCGTCGTGGGTACGACAACGAGGAACTCGTCTTCCTCATCCAACCCCAACTGCTCGTACGCGTTTGCTAGCGCCTCAATTCCATCCGTGTTGCATCTGTCCTCCATGTCAAATCGCCAAATCGAAGTCCGGACTTCAAAATCGGAAACCTGCTGCCGAAGAAGATATTGCGTGATAAATCCCTGGATACCAAAGGATTAAGAAACGAGATACACATCTTGCGACCCCCTGCTGCCAAGTGTCGTGAACGGCCGTGGAAAAAACGAGCGTAAACAATTACGCGACCAAAACTACCCTAGCCGTGGCTAGGTCTCCTCTGCTTGCACAGATGAAATCGGTTTTCATTTTATTTAAAAACATAGAAAGTTCTGTCATTTTTGTTACTTTTGTTTTTTATTTTCGATTTATTGCAATTTTGACACTTTTAATAGTTTAGGGTGCAAATTGGACCTTTTTTGCCGGTTGTTTAACCTTAAAAAATGAAATTTGAACTCGTTTTTGCTAGTTCGGACTGTGAATTGGACCTTTTTTTTATTTTAGAGTCTAGATTGAACTTGCACGGCCAGTAATGGGCCTATTTGACCTTTTAGCCTAATAACTAAAACATAGTTCAAAATTTATCATCATTGATCACAAAAAATCAAATTGATTGAATTTATATAATCAAGGGAGTACACATTTGTTACGACAATTTTGATATACTCACTTTGAAAATCACGTACATTATTTACAATAAAGATTTTCCATATTCATTATAATTCCATTAATATGTTAATGGTGAAGCATATTCTCATATATGTCAGGGGTATCGACATCCACACACAAAGAAATCTCCAAAGAAACAACTAATAAGTCACTACCCCGTCGAGGCCGACCTCAACTCACCTGAGGTCGGTCCGACATTCGACCCCTAGCTTATCGAGGCTAGGCCGAAACTGAGGCCAACCCCAACCCTCGTCAAGGTTGGTACGAGATCTAACCTCATACACAGGCGCAAAGTCAACCAAAATCAACATAACTAAAGAATCACCACAACCAAACAAGCAATGAGCTAAGTTTGCCCCTTCATAAGCACACTGTACCCGAGCTCGACCTCACCTGTTGAGCCCGGAGGCCTCACCAACCAACTGTGGACTTTGATATTTCAGCAATCGAGTACCACACTAAACTATTGCCACATCACCAGCGCGATAGCAGTCTAGGGGTCACGTCACCCTGGCGGTTACCATGAAGAGTGTTCCACAAAAACATTCCGGTACACAAAGAACAATTCTGTTACACACACTAATCAGCCGGCTGTCTAAAATATTTCTCCAAGCAATTTTACACGAGAGGAGAAGTTGTCCATTGCCATCGTCGTTCTTGGATTTCAGAGTACGCAAAATTCTTCTCGCTCTGATACCAGTTTGTTAGGGCAGGTAGATTAGTAACCGAAAGTAACAGATGGACTGATTTTTGGGGAAAAGGCCAGCTGCATCCGTAACGCCCAATGCCTTTATTTATAATGTGTAAAATATACATATTGAACTAATCTTGGTAATTACATCTTAACAAATAATAATAATTTCATGAGAAATAATTTTAATACAACTTACCAAAATCTACTAAATAACTAGTGGAACTAATTAATTTCAACAGATAAAGTGATTCACACATGACTTAGTTGCAAGCAACCTCTCTTTCTCTCGCATATCGTTGTCGGCAAGCATGTATATTAACTAAAGTCAAACCGATTCTAAATGGCATGTATGTGTCTTTGGCTGCATATTTAATTTGTTCAATGCTTATATCATCAGATTCCCAATTGCTCAGAAGTATAGCATACGACCTATCTATCTTTAATCCAAGAACATTCCCCGCCAGTGTTTCCAATCAAATCTACAATAACTCTTTTGACCGCTGGAAATTGTAAATCAAGAACATTTCCCACAACCAACCTGTGATCATGGAGGAGTTGTTGTGCGTGCTCTTGGATCCCTATGGCGACAAACGTGACAAGAGGATTTGTGAGGAAGGTGGTCAAGGAATGTGGAAGGTGATCCTTGTGGAGAAGCTGAAAAATAAGGCACTTCATCCCGACACAAATTTGGAGTGTGGCAGTGAGATTGTTGTTCCATGGTCGGTAAGGATGCCACTTGATGTCTAGACCGGCAATGATGAAACGGTGTCCACGAAGGCGATGGAGAATTGGAGATCAATAACTTCAGATATCCATGCATCAACATGAGACGCGACTTTGGTGACAGTGACTTGAAGATTGATATCGTGAAAATAAACCGAGTGTAGTGTTGCTATTGTTTTATGTTTATAAGGAAATTGAGGGGACGACATATGGATACAAAAGGTATAAAAACGGGGTGAATGAGTAATGAAGGGTGTATGATTGTATGAATTGTGAAGGGAGGGTTTCTATTTATAGATTGAAAATCAAAATCCCAATTCTATTGATGTTCGTACTGAGCTAGAGTAAAATATATGTAGAAAGCCGTTTCAAACTTCAAAGCCCTAGAAAAAGTAAAAAAAGAAAAAAAAATCTTTCCATTGGAGTATTGAAACATCCTCTACTCTTCTCTATTGCTATCCATATTATTGTATTAAGCATGAGAACCTTAAATCTTAATTAATCAGAGAAATAATTATATAGGAGCTCCTTTCAATGTCTTAAAGTCCGCCCTCGATTCCAAAATTAGAAATTCAACTAGATAGATGATTAAGGAATGATCGTGATCTCATGTAACAAATACTCCACAATTGGAAAGAAAATTTACAGTTTATCAGAATATCAGCTTTGACGAGAGTACATGGTATTAATCTGTGATCCGATTTAAGTAGGAATTACACGGCTTCTTTCCCAAGCTTTTTAACCATTTTAGGAAACTATATTTAGTTATTTACCTCATTTTACTTCTCTTTCTCATTACGAATATCAGTACAATATTCAATTTAGGAAACCATATTCAACTCTAGCTCAGTACGAACATCAGTAGAATTAGGATTTTGATTCTCAATCTATAAATAGAAATCCTCCCTTCACAATTCATACCATCATACACCCTTCATTACTCATTCACCCCATTTAATACCTTTTGTATACATATGTCGTCCCCTCAATTTCCTTATAAACTTAAAGCAATGGCAACACTACACTCGGTTGATTTTCACGATATCAATCTTCAAGCCACTCTCACCAAAGTCGTGTCTCAAGTCAATGCATGGATATCTGAAATTATTGATCTCCATCACCACCGTGGACACCATTTCATCATTGCCGGTCTAGACATCAAGTGGCATCCTTACCAGCCATGCAACAACAATCTCACCGCCACACTCCAAATTTGTGTCGGGAAGAAGTGCCTTATTTTCAGCTTCTCCAAAATGATCACTTTCCACATTCCCTGACCACCTTCCTCACCAATCCTCTTGTCACGTTTTTTGCCATAGGGGGCCAAGAGCACGCATAACAACTCCTCCACGATCACGGGTTGGTTGTGGGAATTGTTCTTGATTTAAAGAGTAGTGGCACTAGTTAAAGAACACCTTCATTTGGATAGACCAGTGACGTCAGTTCTTGCCGTCCAGAATAGGGAGATGAGAGGAGAAATTGTTCATCGCCATCATCATTCTTGGATTTTTATGTACACAAAATTCTTCTCGCTCTGATACCAGTTTGTTAGGGCAGGTAGAGTAGTAACCGAAACTAACGGATGGACTGATAATTGGGGAAATAGGCTAGCTCCATTCGTAAAGCCCAGTGCCTTTTTTTATAATGTGTAAAATACACGTATTGAATTAATCTTGGTAATCACATCTTAACAAATAATATAAATAATAATAATAATTTCATGAGAAATAATTTTAATACAACTTATCGAAATCTACTAAATAACTAGTTGAACTAATTAATTTCAACAGATAAAGTGATTCACACATGACTTAGTTGCAAGCAACCTCTCTTTCTCTCGCATATCGTTGTCGGCAAACATGTATATTAACTAAGTCAAACCAATTCTAAATGACATGTATGTGTCTTTGGCTGCATATTTAATTTGTTCAATGCTTAGATCATCAGATTCCCAATTGCTTAAAAGTATAGTAAACGGCCTATCTATCTTTATTCCAAGAACATTCCCCGCCAGCATTTCCAATCCACAACTCTTTTGACCGGTAAATACATGCCGCTGGAAATTGTAAATCAAGAACATTTCCCACAACCAACCCGTGATCGTGGAGGAGTTGTTGTGCGTGCTCTTGGACCCCTGTGGTGACAAATGTGACAAGTGGATTGGTGAGGAAGGTGGCCAAGGAATGTGGAAAACAATCCTTATGGAGAAGCTTAAAAATAAGGCACTTCTTTCCGACATAAATTTGAAGTGTGGCGGTGAGATTGTTGTTCCATGGCCGGTAAGGATGCCACTTGATGACTAGACCGGCAATGATGAAGCGGTGTCCACGGCGGCGATGGAGCTCAATAATTTCATATATCCATGCATCGACTTGAGACGTGGCTTTGGTGACAGTGACTTGAGGATTGATATCGTGAAAATCAATCGAGTGTAATATTGTTATTATTTTAAGTTTATAAGGAAACTGAGGTGACGACATACGGATACAAAAGATATAAAAATGGATTAATGAGTAATGGAGATTGTATGAATATTTAATTTAGGGATACTATTTGAATATTGAGAATCAAAACCCAAGGTCTACTGGTATTCGAACATGAGAATTAGTTTGATACTTAAATGAAATAAGGAAAGTTAATTGAGGGTAAATGTCGTTTGCTAAAAGGATTGTACGAAATTAATTAGGAAGCGAACCGACTCGAAAACCTCTTCCATCAATTACCATAAAAAATTGCCCCTACATACATGCTTTAAGGACCAATAAACAATAACCAAATCATACATCCAACTATAATCCATGTCAAATGAGGTCGTACATTATCACATAATCATTCAACTTCCTTGCATGAGTATTTTATTACTTATTTAACTTGTGCTACTTAGTATTTCTAAAAAACATGTATTACCTAATATTTAGCCAATCATGATGGTTTTCCGTGTTTGATTCCTTCTTTATTCGGATCAATTGATTGTGTGAGGACTTGCTGCAATGATTGGAAATATTATGTTGATTACGTACCATAGATGTTATTGCCTACTAGTTGATTTCCTTTTATTTCTTTCATTTTGTATTATTATTTACCATGATTTGTGCAGCTATATTAAGAAAGAGCTCATGTGTAAAAATATTCATGTACATACGTTTAGTTGAGTTGTATCAATAAAGAGTCCTTTTCAGTATCTTCCCTCTAAGAACTTTAATGGTATCAGAGCAGGGCTGCGCCTGCAAACACTCAATACCCTAATCCGCAATTGAATTTTTCAGAAATGACGAAGCGTGCGGATATCACAATCGACACTATGTCCCCCTACTATCTACACCCTTCAGACAACCCCGGCCAAATGTAATTTAGCGAGGTCCTCTGCGACGGAGATTATGACGACTAGGTGAATGAGATGAATAGTTCCCTATGTGTGTAAAAAACAAAATTGGCTTTATTGATGGAACAATCGACATGCCAGAGCCAAATTCACCTTATTATCTGGTATGGAAAATGTGCAATGCCATGGTTCGAGAATGGTTAAACAGTGGAATGGATAAAGAAATCCGGGGAAGTGTCAAATCTATCAAAACTGCACGAGAAGTTTGGCAAGATCTTGAAGAAAGGTTCAGGAAGGAGAGTGCTCCTAGAGCATACGAGTTGAAGACAACTGTGAGCCATACATGTCAAGAGAACTCATCCATATCCGTGTACTATTCCAAACTAAAAAACCTATGGGATAAAATAGAATCTGCTTCTCCTCTTCCCAAATGCACATGTACAAAGTGTACATGTGATGTGTTAAAAAACTCATGGTCATGAGAGACAAGGAGCGTTTGCATAAGTTTTTGATGGGGCTTGATGAGTCCTTTGGGATCATCAAAACTCAGATCCTAAGCACCAAGCCAACTATGAGCTTGGGAACTACCTACCATCTACTTTCTGAGGAAGAAAAGCGCAGAGATCTTACCTTATCGACGACCAGGAACATATGTTGCTGCTTTTCAAGTTCAGCGAAGTAGCCACAAAATTCAACCTACTATGGAAAATGTTGCTTTCCGGTCACATAGGAGTGAAGACATAAGGGGATCAAGGAGAGCGAGAGGCCCAAGTGCACTCATTGTCAAAAAATAGGACATGTTGCTGAGTAATGTTATGAGATAATTGGATATCCATCACATTGGAAGAAGGGGTAGCAAGATGGTGGGCGAAAGACAAATCATTTTAATTCAAAAGGAGGATCTAGAGTAGCACATGTGGACATGAATGTCTGTCCAATTCCAGGCTCACGTTCGAACAATACTCTCGGTTGGTTCAACACTTCTCAATTGAGATTGGTGGTGAGGTCTCAACACACACCCAAACACTATCTGAAGTTCCAACTGCTAATATGGCGGGTAAGAAGGTTGAAAATAATAATTGGGTAATTGACTCGGGTGCCACCGAGCGTATTATATGTGATGTTAATTTAATACATGAACAAAAGGAGGTAGGTCATGGCATGGTTGTGAGTTGGTGTCCCTGTCAAAAGTATTGGAATGACACGGGTTATGAATGGGATTGCTATTATCAGTTAACAAATTGACACAAGAGCATAATTGTGCCCTCACTTTTTCCATGATTTTTGTATCGTGTGGGACTTACCTTCAAGGACGCTGATTGGAGTGGGTAGGCAAAGTGGTGGTCTATACTATGTCGAACCAGTGAAGAAAGAAGGTCTGGCAATGAAAGTACAAGTTGATTCTGAGGTCTGGCATAGAAGACTAGGTCATGCCTCAAATGAAAAGCTCCAACGCATTTTCTCCATTAATAATTTCTCTCGTATTGAACATTGTGAGTCGTGTATGAAAGCCAAGCAGACCAGATTGCCCTTTTCTATTGGATCGATAAAAACTAGTTCATGCTTCAAGTTAATTCATTGTGACATATGGGGGATAGAAGGTTGCATCTTTTTCGGGTGCTCATTATTTTCTGTCAATAGTTGATGATTATAGTAGAGGGACATGGATTTTCTTGATGAAGAATAAATCAGAAGCTCCATATCATTTAATAGCCTTTTGCAACCTAATACAAACACAGTTTGATAAGAGTTAAAAGAATAAGGTTTGATAATGGGTTGGAATTTCAATCAGGACCAATGCTAGGACCAATGCTATAATAGTATCATGAAAATGGATTAGTGTTGGAAACAACATGCATTGATACAACAAAACGGGATGGTTGAAAGGAAGCACAGACACCTACTTGAGGTGGCTCAGGCCTTAGGATTCCAAGCAGGTCTTCCATTGCATTTTTGGGGAGAATGTGTTTTCACTGCAACTTATATAATTAACAGGCTTCCCTCTAAGCTAATTGGCTATAAAACACCGTATGAAATTGTTTTTAACCGGAAGCCGTCATATGACCATATGAGAATTTTTGGCTCGCTTGTATATGCGAAAAATAACAAAAAAAGGGAAGATAAATTTAGTGAGAGGGGCAGACCTGTATTCATTGGCTACCCTACTGCACAGAAGGGATATAAAGTTTATGATATGGAAGAAAGCTAGGAAAGGACTCAAAGGAGTGTGGATTTGTGGATGCTCCCATTAATGATGCTCTTGTAGAGAATTTAACAACTGAAAATTTGAAATTCTATATTCTTTTTTTTTCCTTCTTGGAATTCTATATTCATATCTATTGAATTCGAATACATACCAGTATACCACTCTGTATTAAAAAATCTGTAAAACACGACAACACAATAATGCATCATACAATCTAAGATAATTAAATGTAGGATAAAAAATAATTAAAAGCCCGTCAACCACTATCAACTAACAAGTAACAACTGATTACCAAACAGGCTGATAAGCCCAACGGTCCAACCAAATACAATCTCTGCAGAAACCAAGAGGATCTCACACTAGAAGGTGAAAATGTTTTGGCATGCCACTGGAAACACCCACAATAGAGGGATGATTACGTTATGTAATTGATTCAGCCGTGAGGATCCGGAGCCTCTACCTTACTTTAGAGTAAGGTAGGGTGTCTTGCTTCTTCCGGGTCGTCCGATCAACAATTCAACGGTCGGAGATCTTGGGCTCCACTTTTTCGCTAATCTCGAGGCCTGATTTGCTACTGCCCGACCGTCCGATGCGCAAGGCACCGTCCTAGTCGGGCAGAGGATCCCAATCCCAGCCGTGAAATTGGGCATTATGAACTTGATGGATTGGTTCCCAAAGTGATAAAGGCATCCCTGAACGATAATGACTCTGAAGACTGTTGTCACAACTCACACGTGCACCTGTATTAAATACGCTTGATTTTTCACTTATATTTGTGATCAAAACAGACACATCCAACTGGAGAACCAGAACCGTATTACTTCAGGAAAACCGCCCTATACTGAAACAAACTCTAAATATGATGCATCAATTCCACAGAACACTCATGGTGGGCATGCAGGAGTCACCCGCACAAGGGGTCGTTTATCCTCTAATTTCTTTGGGCACCTTATGTGGAAAGATATAAAGATGCACGCCCAGGAGGGCGTAATAGTCAACCCATCAATGTTTCTAATCCAGCTCTAAGTGGATCTCTTCAGCCCTTATCCATCCAGCATGAGTGGATGACATTACAACGAATTTTGTTGTCATGTTACACTTCTCTTGGGGCTCCACTGCTATATTTGTTGTCCTAAACTGACTCTCCAAGTATGCACACTTCACAGCTTTATTTACCTACTCATTTTATAGCCTTCAAAGTTTCCAAATTGTTTATAGATACCCTGGCAAAGCTCCGTGGATTTCCTTGTCCTAACAAAGGAAAAAGAACAAGTATTCTAAAATAACCAAGAATATTATTTATATTCATCAATGGCTGCATGGCTCAATTATAGATACGAACCCCGTATATTGTTACAAATTTCTGTTGTTCTAATTATTCTTGAGATGAATGTGTACGTTTAACACTTTAACATGTTCATTTTGACTGTAAATTGATCAAGAGAGGGTTTCCTATGGTCTGCAAGCCGGAACACGATAAGCCATGCTAGCAGGTAAATCTTGAAGTTAGCAGTAAGCATATGTGAGTAGGTGCAAATCCCCCCTCACAAGGTCTGTATCAGAGTGAGAGTTCAACCTGGTACCCCGACTATAGAGCTCGTTTACTTCGCATGATACCATTTACAACTGGTACACTATGCATCGAGTACTACCAACTTACCAAGTATTAAGTCCCAGGCAAGTGTACACATAACAAGTAGTACCTCCGTCCCGACTTAAGCTTCTCATTGAAAAATGAGTGAGTTTGTTCACCCCTCTTTGGAGGGTGATGTACACCCCTTCCCTAGTTGCCTTCCATGTGGTATGACAATTCATTTTTTACAATTGTTATAACTTTTTTCATTTTTGACCCTGTTTTTTTAAATCAAATTTTATATGGAGTAATTCCTATGGTCTTTCCAATGGTACCAACATTACGTATTTAAAAAATTGAAAAAAAAAACTATTTTTTCCAAATATCTATTTTTAGCCGTATTTTAAAAAAAATGCATATACAATATTGGTAACATATGAAAGATCATAAAAGATTATAAAATTTGATATATATTTTAAAAAAATTGGATCAAAAATGAAAAAGTTATAACACATGCAAAAAAAGGAGTTGTCATGCCACATGGCAGGCAATTAGGGTGGGGGTGAACATCATCCAAGGAGAGGACATGAACAAAATCACAGTTTTGAAAAATGGCACGATTATTTAGATATTAATTAAATAAGATGATTCAAGTATATTTTTAGAAGTACTTTTGATGGCTATATAACATAAATACATAATTAGGGCATTGAGGATAACTGTGATATTATAGGTGTATTTTTTTCAATACTTGATGATTAATTTGTCATTTGAAAGTGCTAATTATTTCCTAAATAGAAATGAGAAGCTTTAGGTGGACATCCAAAAAGGCAAGTGAGAAGCTTAGACTGGAACAGAAGGATTATATTTTGGTTCAGTGGCAGAACCATAGTTGGTGTTTAAACTGTCCCAGGTTTAATTGCTATGGATTCCGAAAGATCGTAGTGAAAAGAAAGAATATGCTAGGGAAAATCATTTCCTACTTTTGGATTTACATCTAAAAATACAAAAATAAAATGAAGTATTATTGACATTTTAGATTTTTTTACATATGTTCAGATTGCCAAGTAATCACATTAAATAAAAGGGAAAAATAATAAAAATACCCCAAACTCGATGGGGTGTGAAGTAAACACCCCAAACTTACATATGTATTTTAAATACCCCAAACTTTATACAAAAAAATATTTTTGCACCATTGTCATGTATTATTTCTTTCAAACATGTTTTTTATGGGGTTATAATTGCATAAATTAAAATTAAAATAGCAAATTAAAAGTGTTTCAATTATATGGATTGGCCGTACATTATTTATTTCAAAATGGAAATTTATAATGTTAGTTGTGTCTTCGTGAATTCTAAAATATTTTAAATTATGCAATTAACACAATAAATTTACATTTTTTAAAGAAATAATACTTGATAATTGTGTTAAAATAAATTTTTATATAATGTTTGGGGTATTTAAATTACATACGCAAGTTTGGGGTAATCATCTCACACCCCTTCAAAATTTGGGGTATTTTATTTATTTTTCCCTAAATAAAAATAAAAGTTAAAAAAATGAATTTTAACTAATATTTAAAATAAAAGTTATTTTCTTATGTTTAGAGTTACCTCGAATAATACGAAGGAAAATGAAACATGATAGATGTTTTAATTGTTACTACATATTAGATTGTCCAAAATTTATCCAGAAGAAGTAAATAAATAAAACAAATTATGGAAAAAAAATTGAAAATAAATTTATTGTATTTGAAACAATTATTTACTCCTCAACATTTTCTTTGCATTGGAATTTATCCTAAATGTGCTTCTCCGTTTAACTTTTCCTGGCATTTTCAGTGTTTCACATACAGTAAAAGATCATCTAACTCAACATTCCTGATCCATAGTTGTTTATTCCCTTGTTAAGGTAGATTCTTATAATTTCCATTACACTTCCAGACTTCCTACATTGCAAGGTACAAAGGCCAACAGCACTTAGGGAGTCTTTGCTAAAACTTTAAAAAAGTGCTTTTTAGCTTTTGGATTTAAAAAAGCTAAAAAGAGTGTTTTAAGATGACAGCTTCTGCTTAAATTAATCACTTAAAAGCTAAAAGTTGGAAGCGGGTGGAAGGGTGCTTTAAACTGTTTTTCACTTTTTCTATTATACAAAAATCACTTATTTTACCGAACACTACCAACTTTTAATTTTCAGAATCACTTTTTTTCAAACACTACCAACTTTTACTACTCCCTCCATCCCAATTTGATGATCCCGTATTTCCTTTCTGGGCCGTCCCAAATTGATAGTCTCATTTCCCTTTTGGAAAGAAATATGTGGTCCACATCATTTCACCTTTTTATACTCAAATCTCAACCACAACTTTTACCTTTTCAACCACTTTCTTAATATTTGAGCCCAAAAGAAATGGGATCATCAAATTGGGACGGAGGGAGTATTAAGTACTTTCTCCAAAATCACTTTAAAAAATCACTTTTTTGAAGTAGAAGCAATCACAAACACTCCCTTAGGTTCTCTTTGGATCTCAGAAAATGCTGTAGAAAGAAATTAAGGTAAAAACATAGGAGGAATTATGAAGGACAAATTAATGAGGAAAACACATTGCCTCAAGCTCAATAAATTTGATTTAAATGTTTGTTCAAATTGACTTCTTGTACTGTGAAACCTAAATACATGTAAGAAATTTAAAAACATTAATCATATTCCATTTTCCTTTTCATTTCCATAGGTAAAACCAAGCATAAGAAAATAACTTTCTCAGCATAATCTAACCTTCCTAATATTTTCTATGATTCGAACACAACCACAGGAGGGAAAACAAATACCAGATGCATAGGCTAGGCAGCAAGTCCTTGTTCTCTGGCTTTTTTCAGCCATTTCAAAGTACTCTCCAGTGTGGTGTATGCCATCACGTCATTCAAACTCTTACTATCCACTGCGTAGTCAAACACTTCATAAGCCTCTGCAACCCTTCCATTCCGGCAAAGAGATCTAACAAATGTCCCATACGCACCTGACTCAAGCATGATGTCATTCTGTTTCATCATGCCATACAATTCAACGGCCTCTTCCAACAACCTAGCCTTGCATAGCCCATGAAGCAATGTATTGTACGTGCAAGAATTAGGTTCACATCCCTTTGCTTCCATCTCCTCCAGCAATGACAATGCTCCCTTGGCATCCCCCTCCCTACACATCCCATTCATCAAGGAAGTATATGTGACAGCATCTGGAAAATGACCATTTCCAACCATTACACCCAAAAACTTCTTGGCCTGTTGGACCCGGCCCGACTTAGAGAGCCCATATATCAATGTATTATACGTCACAAGGTCAGGTTTCACACCTTCTTCCAACATCTTCTTATACACACCCAACACTTCACCCCCAGAGCTTAACATGCAATAACCCTTCATAATTGTGTTGTAAACATAGCAATCTGGCTTATAGCCTTCCTCACTCAAAACACCCAAAAGCCGGGTTGCCTCCCGGATATTCTTGTTATTACAAACATTATCTATCATTATAGTGTAAGTGACTAGATCGGGCTTTATTCTGAAATTCTCCTTCATATCTTGGACAAAACCATTCATGGCGCTCACTGATCTATTCTTACACAAATGCCTCACGAGAAAATTGTAAGTATGGGAATCAGGAAGTACGTTCTTACTACAAAAATCCTTCACTAGATCAATGGCATGCTCTTCATGACCAGAGATGCAAAGGGTCCTTGCAGCAATATCCATGGAGACCATATCAGGAGGATACCCATTGGTGTTCATCAAATTGAGTATCTGGTGCACTGGGGATAAAGATTCGTCCGATGATTTACAAGCCTGTATTAGAAGGATATGGAAGGTAGACCTGTCCGGAGAAAAGGGCGGGTGGGTCTTCACCATGTGGTTCATGAAAAAGATTGCATCTTGGAGAGTTGAGATCGAAGAAAATGATTGAAGGATTGAGTTAAATACTCTAGGGTGAGAAGGGGTGGTCTTCTTGGGGTTGGAAATGAGAGAACTGAAGAGGGTTTTGGCTTGTGAAAGACTAGGGGAAGCGAAGGTGATGAGAGGGGATTCAGGCTGAGGTTGAGGACTTACTTGGGGCTTTTTCTTGGGGATTTGCTGGATTGCTTGTGGCTTGGGGGAAGATGGTGCAGTTCTCATAAGATTGTTAAGACCGTAATTAACTGATGACCTCATTGAAGGTGGAAGCTTCCCCATTTCTGCTTCTTATTCTCGATCGCGGTTTCTGATTCTGGGAACTCCACTCTGTTTGAGCCTTTCAGTTATTGGTTAGGGTTTAGGTGTTTATCGTTGAAAAAGAAAGTTAACGCAGCTGTTGGGTTTAGGGGTTTAGGAGGAAGACAATTAGGAAATTACGTTTATGGGATCCCATTCCTCGGAATTTTTATCTAAAAGGGCCGAAAAAGGTTGAGTATTTTGAATCTACCCGGCCTTCTATTACATTATTAGGAAATGGTGTAATTACATAAGGACCCTTAATAAAACGACACCATGAACTTAAAAACGACTGTCTATCCCGATTTCGAAAAACGGGAAACGGCTTGTTGGTCCCACCAGCTTCCACAATCCAACTTCCGTAATCCCAGCTTCCCCTTCCCACACACTTCATCATTCACTATCAGTCGAAATCGATTTCGGTCGAGCTCCGGGTTAGGGCAGAAGCATTTTCGATTTCCAGCACAAGCATTCCTCGATTTCGACTTCGACGAGGAGCATTCTTACATCTCCTTCCATCATCATGAAGTGCAAAAGTCCTACGGTTCCTCTTGGGAAAAGCCAAGCAAGACGGCGACTTGTGAAAGCATCTGAAGTGATGGAAGCCAAAGATGAACTCAATATTCAGGTAAATGTTAGATTATTTACGATTGCTTGAGAGCGATACTTGGTTCTTTAGAAAGCTAGACGTGGTAATTTCTCAAATGAAAGCTATAGATGTTCATTCGAATCCGAACTCAACTCAGTCGACCCAAATCATGTTTGATTATTTTGAAAACGCATGACATGTTTCTCACTATTTTTTCTAAGTAAACATACCTACCAATTATACAAGTATCATTGGTGGTTAATCCGGAGTGAATTTCTGTAAAATCATTTGGTCGAACTAAACATACATTTTTTTACCAATCTTAGTCGAAACGGAGTTGTAAACCGTTGGTTCGACCGTATATTAGTCGAACATCTGTAATTTTTTTTTATATGCAGGTTCCTTCCTTGCCTCCTGTGGTGGACTGCTCGTTGTTCCCGAGCATGAAGCTCACAGTAAGGCAAAAATTGGATGAATTTATAGAATTAATTTTCGACAATCTTGGTGAGTTTCCCAATCTCATTGGTGCATTTAGGTCGAGTGTATTTGGGAAATACATTGATGTTGAGTTCATCCCTGTTCCATTACATTTGTGGTCAATCGTGTCTAGATTAGCCAAAATTGATATTGAATCGGAGGCATGGTTTGTCGTGAAGGGAGTTCCAGTACGCTACTCTCTCACAGAATTTTCTCTAATCAGCGGGCTTACCTGCAGCGCCCTTGCTAGCAATTATGAAGATGATTTTGATAATGATTCAAAGGCCAGATTCATTGAGAAGAATTTTGATCAAGATTTTGAGGGAGTTGTTAGCTATGAAACAGTTGTAGCTAGATTTGTACAATTGTGCATAACTTTGAAGGACCCTGAAGCTGAGGACGAACTGAAAAAGGATGCTGAAGTAGAAGTGATCAGAGTAGCAATACTCATGTTTGTAGTGATGGTCCTTCTAGCTCCTTCTAAGAGAAAAGCTCCCATTCCTGAATGGATAATTGGGAAAATAGGGGGAAAAGAAGAAAACGAGTTCCCATGGGGTACGTGGGCGTATAAGGGCTCATTAGATGCATTGAAACATATGGACTTGGAGAAAAAGCTAGATGAAATAATTGTTAAAAATAAGTCAGCAACAATGAATTTCCCTGGATTCTTAATCCCAATTTCGGTAAGGACCTTTGTTAATATCATTTGCAGATTCTATTTTGCATACTGTAATAACAATTTGTCTAGCATTTCTTGACTTTTTCAAATTTTGTTTTAATAGATATTGCTTTTTGAATGCGCCCCTGATTTTGCCGAGAAGTTTGCAATGAGACTCCCTAATTGCGTGCCTACTTTGCCGAGGTTACGTCTCTATCGTCCAAATACGACAAAAAGGATCAGCACTGAACAGGTTCAAGTGGCTGAAGAATCAATAAAGGTAAGAACATTTTCACACTTATAACCTTTGTTCGACCAGATTGTGGTCGAACAAATAAACGTGATTGACTACTACACGGTCGATAATACGTTGTTTTGTTTATACAACTAAAAGTGAAGAACTAAATGTTTGTTACAGAGGGTGCAGAGTATTCTACTACCTGATGATTTGGAGAAAACTACTGATTGGGTCAGAAGTTTGGATCCTGTACAAGACAGTCACCCACATGTTGAGCTGGATGGATTTGTGAAATCATTAGAGAGAAAATTGGTTCTTTTTCCAGTCTCTTTGAAAAGAAAATCATGTGAGGTCAAGAGTCCTAAAGAGGAGAAGAAGCCTCCTAAAAAGATGAAGTTGCTGAGCATGAAGAAAGAAGAAGGTGTAGTGGAGGAAAAAAGAAAGAAGAAAAACAGACACTCTCCTCCTCAAACCCCTATTGCCTCTCCTCAACCTACTGCCCATGTAGAGGAACAAAGAAAGAAAAAGAAACACTCCCCCAAAACCCCTGCTGCTTCTCCTAAGCATCTGAGATGAGACCAAACTATGTGACACATCCAAGAGTTCAGAAGTGTTAGCAATTTTTTATGCACAAGAGCTGTTATCAATCATCTGTACAATTACGGACATAACATGTAATATCGATGTACGGTTCCAAAAAAAATGTAATATAGATGATTTTCTAACATGTAATATAGATGATTTTGAGTTAACCATCAAATGATGGTCGAATGTTCAACATCAGAAGACTACATGAAAGCGTTCACAAATCATCTAGACAATAATGGGGTTCCCAATTATGGACATAATATGCAATATAGATGATTCTAACATGTAATATAGAGATGATTATTACATGAAAAAACACAAAGGTCGACCCTTTCATTTGTCTCTTTTTTCAAACCATTGTTTCAAAAAACACAACCGTATATACCCGTAAGAGAGATTGCAATATTTGATAATTTATAAATAATCCATAAATAAAACACTTTTAATTGGTTACACATTCTTTTTGTTTGAAATAATTGGTTACGCTTACACATTCTTAGTATAACCAAGAATAATTAAATTTATAACTCATGTTGCAAACAGTCACGTTGCATAATAACCTACTGTTGGTTATTAACTTATTATCACAATTATAATAACAGTTGAAGACTTGAAGTCGGATGGTTCATGGTTATCATTATCATTAGCATATTAATAATTAATCAACATAAATACAAATAACAGTTAAGGTGACCGTTGAGAATTAACCAATGAGAATTGAATTCAATAATTATTAAAAACGAAATTCAATTTAAAAGTTAAATTCACTTTAAAATTCATTTTACTTAAATTTCACTTTAAATTTAAATTAAATTCGCTTTAAATATAGACTACATTAAAGTTACCTTTGATGTATTCGCATTTCGATCCGGTTGTGACCTTTGACATAACCACTACATTTAACAAAAAAACACGTTTACTTCAACCAAACAAATACGGAGTATACGGTCTTCTATTTTGTTTTATCTCTGGAATCCTTTATCTCTCTAGGTTTTATTATTTTTTTGTCGCTTGTCTTCTTCCCTTATTCGGTAGTAACAATGGCAGGTATTGGGAACCATGTTTATCTTTTTACGGATTACAGACTGGAGGATGATCCTACCGATGATAATAGGATGCTGTATGTTTTATTTACTCGCCATGGAAGAAGACTTCCCTTTGCCGCTATTACCCGGCCAAATCATACAACTGCCGAATGGCGATGTGAAAGCCGATGTGAAGACTCTTGGTATGCTTTTACAGATGCAATAGACCTCCTCACGGATCCCCACTTCGAGTATTATGATATGGAGACACCAAACATAACAACTCTTCAATGGCATTTGAATAAATTAATTCAGAATAGTTCTACATACGCTAACGAAGGTTAGTAGCGAGTACTTCATTCAGTATAATCCTCAAAATTAATACACATATACTATCGTATTAATTAAAATATAAATAATCTTATTTCCCAGCCTGTAGTTCGTTTTCTCTCCATCTTCCGGATGTCGATGAAACACACATAGCTTGGTGGTTCCTCCCTGCAGAAAACGATGGGGAATATACATACTATGTACTCATTCCTTTTGCGATATTGTATTTGATACATGAATGTTGCAATTAGTATTTTAACATATACGAAGTACATGTTCTCAGAAAATCCCAGAGTGTTTGAGCAGGCATGTTTTTGAGCACGTGGAAAAGCGTGCCCTACTTGCTTATGGTAAAAAATCCTTCTTTGTGGACGTTGATCACTTCGAGTTAAACGGAGTCGAGACATTCTTCACGGAATCTGGTGTTCCAGATGATGCCCTTCTTTTATTTCGCCATACAGGCAACTTTAGGTTTGATACATTTGCTTTTGACAGTAGGGGTAATAACATTGCCCCAATTGATTCCGGTCTCATTCCCAATCCTACTGCATCAGGTAGATAGATCCCTTCTGTTCGAGTCAATTGTAATTTTGTCGTAAAAGTATAAAAAAAATCTATTGGTACACATTTTTCATACACACACGGTGTAATATAGAGATGATTATTTTGAGTTAACGAATGAAAATTAATCTCATTTGTCACCTGCGTCGACCCTTTCATGGTCGAATGTTCACAATCAAGTCGACCCTTTTACATATTATGTCTCATTTTGTAATTTCATTTGTCTCATTTTTCAAACCATTTTTTGAAAAAACACAACGGTCTACTCCGGTAAGAGACATTGCAATATTTGACACACCTACACACTCATGTTTGTGAAGAGTACTTTTTTGTTTATATTAAGACATAACGTATTTGAAAATGTTGTAAATGTGTATACAGACACAAATATTTGTGTGTATACAGACACAAAAATACTCTTCACAAACATGTGTAAGTGTGCGTATGAAAATGTGTACCTCAAAATGGATTGAAAATATAAATGGTTGTGTAAATATTTTTACATATACTCCAGGTGAAATGATTGTCCCTGTAAGGTCTGCCATTCCGAATTTGCCATACGAAGGACTCTTCTACTGCCCTTCTTTCTTCTACGTTCCGTATAAAACATCAAAGGTTTGATTAAAATCTCACTTGTAATACCATATAGTACTTTGATTAAAATCCTGTCATTGTATTATTGCCCTGATTTACTGTGAAATAAAATCCATGAAACAGGTGCACTGCAATGAATTCTTGATGAGCTGTTGTAGTGATCCAGATTCAGAAAGTATAGACTTAGTTGTGGGGCATGGAACACAAGATCAACACTTTTCAAGCAAGCATCAGCGGCCGTTGTTTAAGGCAGTGAGAGATCGCTTCTGTTTACATAAAAGCTTAAAGTTGGTGTTTTTTAACATCATGCGTGGTTGTGTTTTAATGCTGGTAATTGGTCGGTGCAACGTAGAGTCACTACCCCAGCACACTAGTATAGAATATATGATAGAGTTAAATGTGAATGGTAGAATGTAACTGTTGTGACTTTTAAGAAACTATCTGCCATCTTTGAAAAACCTACCAAGTTCTGGTTGATGACTGCACTTCTATCTATCTACTTAGTATAATTAAAAGTCTGATCTTTTTGTATTATCTACCCAAATGAAGTTTAATGGTTATTTGTCTTAATTGTAATTTCTTTCAGTGATTGTAATTACTACTTTAATTCTTAATTACACTCACATGTATATCCATAAGTTAGAATTAATATTATAACATATTTATGTTTTTATGTATTTAGCATTATGATTATTATAGTTGTTGGTGATCCACTTAAACGACTACATTCTGTTCGAATAAAAATCCACTGAAAATTTAGGGTTCAAGGAGGCTCGACCATGTTCCACTAAAAAATTTAGGAATCCATTGAAAACGCCGTCAACACTTTTCGACCAAAATATAGTCGAACTAAACATTTTTTTGAGGTCGACCAAAATATGCTCAACTAGGGGTCGATCGAACAAATATACTAGGAGTAATTTAACAAGCATTTATTATGGGCCATTTATTATGTGACTTCAGTACGGAGACTTGCGCCAAATCTTGAGGTTCAGTATGGAGACTTGCGCCAAATCTTTAGATACTAAAGTACTAAAGAGGCGCCATATCGGAAGACGGAGCATTTATGAGACTAGACCCAATTTGCTCTACCATGATAACTTCTGGAATTGGAAAGAATTATGAGTTCAACAACTAATCATAATGCTAGATACATTTAAAATCCACTGAAAATTTAGGGTCGACCATGTTTGCACTGAAAAATCTAGGAATCCATTCAAAATCCACTTAAACGACTACATTCGGGTCGAATAAAAATCCACTGAAAATTTAGTGTTCAAGGAGGCACCACCAGAGTTAAAACCCAACGGTCACCTCTTCCTCAGCCAATCACCCTATCAATCTAACTTTACTCACCGTTAATACCGATACACAAATCCTGTCAAAACCATGAATTAAAGCACAACTTTAGTTAAAGCACGTAATTCACCAGGAATTACGATCATAAACAATTAATGCTTGAAAATTAATTTTTGTTGGTGAATTCGATCAATGCACCGCAACCACCAGAGTTAAAACCCAACGGTCACCTCTTCCTCAACCAATCACCTCTGGCTATCAATTAATGTGTGTTATAAAAAGATATTGAAAATGAAATTAAAATTTTAGTATAAACAAGGGTTAATAAACATTAACAATGTTTTTAAACTTTTTTTTGCTTCAATACATAACTTTTGGAATTCTTGTTAAAAAGGGTCAATGGTAAACAACTTTTAATCATGTACATTTTTAACAAAGTTGGTCGACTAAATTGTGGTCGAATTAAGCAGTAAAGTTAATTAAAGTTTGGTCGAATCGTGTTTTTGAATCCGTGTACATTATAGGTCGACCATATAATCGACTACTTAGTCTTTTGTAGAAAAGTACTTCAAAATATTTAAATATATACTTAACTTTGGAACAATATAAAAATATGCTTAAAAATTAGACTAATATATTGTCGATCAAGTGATTTTCGTATCACTTTTGAGAAAATTCAAAATTCTATCAATAGATTGTACTTTTCAATTCTTAATTTACTCTAGGATTAATAAAAAGGGATAAAAAGATATTGAAAAGTAAAATGAACTTTTATTATAAAAAAGAGTGTCGACCGATTGCTGATCGATCCGTAGAATATTGACCAACATTTGTAAGTAAATTTAATTTTTGTTGGTGAATTCTATTCACCGCAACCCCTAGAGTTAAAACCCAGCGGTCACCTCTTCCTCAACCAATCACCTCTCTGGCTATCAATTAATGTTTGTTATAAAAAGATATTGAAAATTAAATTAAATTTTAGCTTCAATACGTAACTTTTGGAATTCTATTTATTAGGGTCAATGGTAATTGGTAAACAACTTTTGGAATTCTATACGAATTTTTTATTCATGTACATTTTTAACAAAGGTTTTCGACTAAATTGTGGTCGATTTCAGCAGGAAAGTTTGCTTCAATACGTAACTTTGGTCGAATAGTTATTTTTAAATCCATGTACTTCTAGGTGAATTCAATGCACCTCAACTACCACAGTTAAATCCCCCAACAGT